TGCTACTCTTCCCACAAAATATCCTTCATCATGATAACTGTATCTCACCCATATTTTGTTTACCTTTAACTGTAATTCTTGGATTAGTTACCTGTGCAATTATATAATTCCTTGTGGTTTCTTGAGCCATCCCGTGACTGTTGGGAAACTGAGAGAACTACTTCTTGAAATAGATACACATTGCAGGGCTTCACTTCTTTAAAAAAAAGTTCAGTTTTATTAAGTTCTGCATGGGCTCAAAATAGCCTTCCTCCTCCAGGAGGAATGCCTTATGGAAGTTATCAAAACAAGAACAAACCCATGTTTAGAACAAGAAACAAAACCCTAGGAACTCTCTTCTATCCACTTGTATGAGATCTGAGCTATTTTCAGTTTAGAGAAGATCCTGTACTTGCTACTTTATCAGTTCTAGTGTGCATCTTACTCTGATGATAATAGATGCCATTCTTTTTCCTACAGTGGGGAAGTCTTTGTAAGTCCACCCAGAGGTTACATCCTAATAACTGTTTGATGGGGAGAATTCAGTAGTTCCTTGACTAATTCTGAGAGAAGAAAGCGCAACAGAAGATGTTTCTTTGGGAAGCTGCTACATATCCATTCACAGCTTCAATTCACCCGTGGGTACTGAGATACAGCAGAGAGGAGAAGGAAATCTTGGACAAAGAAAGGTTTTAGGAGAGGGAGTCTTAAGACTAACTGCTGTCTCCAGATGCTTTTTCCCAAATAATTGTAGAATTGCTAAATGCCTTAGTATATTTGACCAACTAGAATGAAGAGTAGCACATCCAGGCTCAAATCAAAGTATTCAGGTGTTCCTCCGGCTTGTCCAACTATTTCTTTAGTCCCTTTAAATATCTGTAAGATGCAGTGATGGATCTGACTGCACATTATGTGGTTTTAAAACTGTTCCTCCATCAGACATACATGAGTGGCCAATCAGAGAACATGACAAGAGAAGCCAAAATAGCCCTATGTTAATGTTTTAACCATTTGATTGTGGTTTGTTGACAACTTAAGATAGGAAATTGCAGGGGCAATGAGGGCATGAGAATTTGACCGCTAACACCTATGATACAAAATCACTATCCTTGAGGTTTACCACAATCACCAGGATTGAATGTCCATTTTTGCTACATATGGTAAATTCCTGATTCAGAGAAAGAGAAGCCACTTTTTAACATGTTGTGCCATATTACTGTTACTAAGAAAATCTGAGCATTTCAGAAGATTAAATATGTCTTCAAACTGAGGATGAATTACATTGTCCACAGATATTAGGTACTGCCTTTATACACAGGAAAAAGTTTGTTTCTGAACATTAGAAAGAAACTTTCCCCTAAAGTTTGTTTTTATATGTTATTACACATTAGTGGGCAGCACAAATTAAAATATGCATAACGTTATTTCCCTTCTATCTCCTGGTTCTCTGATGCACACTTTCCATTGTTTAGGGTAATCAGTCCAATACATCCTAAATAGAGCCGATTTGCTGATGAACTCAATTGAAAAGCTGGCTGCCAAACCCTGATGATGATGATAATGATTAATATATTTATCAAATTTAGACTTTTCCAGCTTCCAAGGCCTGTAGCCATAAGTTTAAAAAGGGCAACTCATGAAAAGAATTCAATAGAGACTGAGACATTGTCTGGATTTTTTTATATTTAAGAGATGCTTTTCTATTTTTCTTTTCTATGCCAGAAATATCCGTGCACAGAAATACAAGAGAATGAAATAGGTGGCTCTGTTGAGAACATCTAGGTTAAATGGAGGAAGGAATATAACCAATACTTTCAAAGAAGCATCATGTGGGACTTTAATTATGTCAACATCTGTTGAGAAACCAGCTGTCATGATAGTCATTCCAGGAAATTTCTAATAATAAATATCTTAATAGCAATTTTCTCTTCAGAGGACAGAGGGAGGTTAGGTAAATCCTAACCAGTAGGAAAAACTTAGCAGACTAAGTGAAAATAATGGGAGGTTTTGAGTAGAAGTCTGAAGATAAGAATTTTTGGTTTCCCATACATTTCAGTTCACCAATTCCAAGAATGTCAATGCCAAATCTTGGTATTTTTTTCTTGGGCATCAAGTTGCTTCGGTTTATGATTCTGACATTCCATGTACCAACAGCATAATACCTTTGTAGCATCACACTTTCCTTTTGACTTTGGCACATCAACATTTAGATGCCCTTTCAGTCTTATTCCAGCCACATCATGAGCATCAGTAGTCCTCATGCTTGTCTCCTATTCTTTCCCAGTAACTGGTTAGATACTTTCCAACCTGAGGGGTAAGAAGTGGGGTTTATCTTCCAATATCATGCGAACATCCCAGTTGTGAGTATTCATTTGCTTTCTTAGCAGAATACTGGAGTGGGTTGCCATTTCCTCCAGTGGATTGCATTTAGTTTTATCCCCCATCATGGGTGCTTCTTCTGGGAGGATATACCCTCAACAGTTTATATCCCCAACAGTATATCTCCTGACTAGATTCCTGTAAATTTCATTAACATACAGATTCTAGATATCCACTACTTTGTCATTCATTGTTCTTTCAGTACAGTGTAGTGGCTAGGCTATTGGGTTAGGATGCTTCTTTGATGGCAGGCTAGTGAACATCTCTTAGCCCAACTTTCCTTACAGAGTTGTTGGGAGGATAAGAGAGGATGCAAAGGAAACAATACTGTAAATAAAAATAGAAAATGTTTGCACATGAAAAACAACTGTTTATATAGTGTGAAAAATGTATTATAATAAATCCTATGTTTTGCTTTATTATTTATTATTTATTTTGGGCATAGTGGTTGGGATGGGAATTGAGATTGGTGGGAAGAGCATAAATTATATTGTACTGTACATGTTCAAACATGAACACTTAGAATGTATATGTGTATCTCAAAAGATGATCCAGGTACTCTAAGAACTCCTCCTTCTCCTTCAGGGACTTCTTGCAGTTTTGACTGTTTTGATTGTAAGACTGAAGTTTTGTCGAGAGATGATTAACTGCTTTGATTATTCAGTGACAATGTTCAAGTACTCGTCTGTGATATAAATATTTCTTCTGAAAGAACCATATATAAATCAGAGTTGAACTACTTATGGGAGTTTCAAATATCTTGTGGAAAAGCTGCTGGTTTTTCCACGTAGACTTGAAAAAAGCCGAGAGTTGGGTGTTTGAAATTCTGAAGAAGCTGGCAGCATCTTTTGCAGAAACCAAATTAATAAGATTTCTGTTTGGCCCAAGAAACACAGGGCTGAAAATCCTAAACAAGGTTAATAAATAAACAAACCTTCTACATTTTCTAGATAAATGAGGAACATATTCCTCTCTGTTTCAGCAGGCACTTTGGCATATCACAGGACAGAACAAGACCCTTCTTTTCTAAGCTTTTGTGCAGGCCATTTGTCTTTTCTCCAACCTTCCTCCTTTCAAATTAAAGTATGGAAGGGGCCTCTATTATATAAATTCCCAGTCTCTGGTGCTTTGCTATACAGATTCCACAACCACTTCCCCTATTCTGAAGCACTAACCCTTGAAGCAAAATTATATCACAGCACTATATTTCTGAAACTTTGAGCTCAAAACTAGGGGCAACAACTCAAGGTGGCTCCTGAGAGAAGCCACAACTCTGAGATTATATATATAATTTATTAGCTGAATGGCCATAGATCAAAGATCTTCTTTAAATAAATCTTTCATGATTCATTAAAGTTTTCTGTGGAGAGTAGCATGCTGAATGATAGTGAAATAGTAATAATGCTTTCAAGTTTTATTTTAACATTACTATATGGGAAGGCAGAGAATGAGGAAAATAATTAAGTCTAGATCTGCCTTCTTTGATAGAATTCCTATTTTAGTTTAGATATTTAAACAGTAACTTCTTTTTAGCTAAAACCTGTAAGTTGCATTTCAATTGGCTGAAAATCTTTGTTAAATATATTTATCCAACTTAACCTATACAATTATAGAAATTATCACTAATTTCAGTGCTATCTATTCCTAGATATCTATGCACAGAGTTTTTATTTGCCCCATAATTTATTATGATGGTAGTTTGCTTCAATGTCTATGTTTAAAAATAGATGGCGTAGAATGATGTCTACTTTCTACTGATATTAATTTCTATAGAGACATAATAAAAAAGCACTACCTTGGCAGGATTCTGAATTTGCCTTGGGATTAGGGCTGTGGCATCCACCATAATGAGCTGTGATTGTCTTAGCCCACCCCCACTGAAAAATCTACTTCCCAGTTGTAAATGGAATGTGCAAACACTCAAAACTGAAAAAGCCCACACGTCTTAAAGTTGCTGAGGTTGGCAAGCACCGTCTTAGAGAATCGTTTGAATCAAGTCAGAGGTCTGCTGCGTAAGAAGCAGAAAGGGCTTATGCTCGGGCCCGGGGACGGACAAAATTCAGCAGAAAAAACGAATCTGGGCTGACTTCAAGGGCTATTTCCAAATGCGCTTGCGCCCCTCGGCTTTCGCCTTTCAGGAACGCTCTCAGCCCCTCGCTTTCCCCGCTCCGCACCTCACCGCACGCGGCCCCCGAAGCAGTTCCGATTTCCCCTCAATCTAACCCATTGCACGTCAATCTCAAACCTGCGGGCCGTTCGTTGGCTGGCGCCCCGGCCAATGAGGCGCTCGTGGGCCGGCCTCGCCTTTCTCCAAGCTCGGTGGCCTTGGTCTGGATCGCTGATTGACAGAAGTGGGCGGGGAATCGGTCGCCCATTGGCTGCTCGGGCAGGGGGGGGCGGGATCTTTGTATGAGTGCACATAGGGAT